GCTCGCATAATCATAGACCCTTGTTGAGCAAGGGAATGTTTCATATACCTGTATAGGTGCAGACCAGTAAATAGGCCCAAGATTGCCTACGCGGACCAAATCACAATTTGTACTATGCCCTCAGTTTCTGGGGTTTTTTTGTTTTGTTTTCTTTTAGAGCATTTTGTGGGCCATGAACTTGAAGGTTGGTTCAACATATGGGTGGAAACCGTGCACAGGACTGCGAGCTTTGGGGCCCTAAAATTGCTCTATTTTGCAATGGAGCGCAGGCATCATTTTTTTCAAAATGGCGATGTGCACAGGACTACTTTTAGGGGTGGTCATCTTTGGATGGAATTTTCTCCCAAAAGTCATGGGATTACAATCAGAAAATTAAACAGAAAATGAAAGTTGATGAAATAAGCTTTAATTTGATGGGTTTCTCAAACACCTTGGAGAGTTGTGAGTATTTGTAAAAAATAAGTGCGCGTAATTACCACAGGTCTATGGGAGTCGATTTACTGGTCTGCATCATGTAGGCCTAGGCCCTACTGTTCGATATTATCTGTATCAGTGCGTAATATTGATTGGCCTACATGCTCTACTTCCAATTCCCCCATAGTTTATCATGGTTTGTCATTCTATGGCAACCAGAAATCAAACTCCAACTTTCGGCCTCGGACATGTTACTTTGTTTGCACTGTAAATATCCCCAAGCCTGCCCTTCACGTTTGATTTATGACTGAGTTAATATACACTAGGCCGATAGTAGCTGCTTATACCACCACTTAATACACTTACAACCACTTGGCAAAGTTTGGTCAACCGTCAACCAACAATTTGAAAAGTGTTTTTTTTCTGAAAAGATTCTGCTGATGTTAATTGGTCACCGCGGTGATTTACATGTGACAGGGGTCAAATGACAGTTTCAGCTTTTCTTTACGCCACTGACGGTTACCATGCACTACACTTTCCCAGCTTAGTGATGCTTTGCCGCCCCTCCCCCTCCCCACACACATACCCATGTTTGTTTATGGTGTAAGTGGAGGATTTTCTAATTTTCCTCTTCCCTTTTCCTGTGTTTATGACATAACTTTTTTGCAAGAGCTCTCATTGCTTTTGTACACGTTTTCTAATCGAAGTTGTCCTCGATTTGGTTCCTGTCCTCAGTTCATCGTGTGTGTCCTCGATTTACACCATAAACACGCACACACACATAAAGAAAGTGAAAAAGAAAAACAGCTTCCTATCAGTTTTTATTTTAAAATTCCTAGTTTCTGGAATCCATATACCTTTTGCCTCTGCCGTTTCTGTAATGTACAACCACAGGGAGCTACATAAAATGCCTCCATGGAATAGCGAGCAAAGCGTGTGCCATGCGCTGGATGGAAACAGGCACTGGATGCACGGCATGAGGAAAACTGCTCAATCATCTCCAAGCAAAATCATCGTCCATCAGCTGCATAATTTACCCACACCTTCTCAGGATGCATCCGTGAGAACGACAAAGGAAAAGTCAGCCTGGGGAACCTGATGGTGCTCGCACCTTATACTGCCCTGTCTTGGAGCCCTCGGGTGACGGCAAGTTTTATTTTTTGAGGTTTCATTGGACTTTTTCGTTTTAACTGGTGACCTGGGGTCAAAGCAACGCGTGTGAACGGTGAGGTACCTATAATACTTCGCCTTTCCTTCGCAAGATTCTGCGATAATAGATTAGACATCACCAGTGTTCCCTGATAGGTTGATGGTTCGAGCAAATGGAGAACGTTTCCAACATATTGTTGAGTCTTCCCCTTGAAAAACCAAAATGGCCCATTCTATAGCCTCATTTTGAAGTTTAGGCCTATCCTATATCCAAGCAGAAATGCGAACGTAAGTTTCCCCGATATACCAATCCGTTCGCCGCTGATGAAGCGAGGGGTATTATAAGTACCAGTAGTGAAGGGGATGGAAACTTTCCCCTTACTCAAGCCACTAAATAAGCCCTCGATATGTACTTTGTATATACCAGCCTTAAGTGCTAATGTATTTCATAAATAATCAAACAATTCTAGGTGTACAAAGTTGTTGACATATGGACCTCGTAATCCTACAATTAGCTCACTTGGCAGTGTACACAACTCCCGTTAACAGTATTAAGCTCGTGGGGTAATGCTGTTTACTGAACCCACACAAATCTGCAAATCAAATCAGCTAATTGGCTATAATGTTATAGTAAGGAGTTAATCCGTATAACTCTCAAAATCCCTTTGAAGAATTACCGTAAGATTTCCGAACTACATTCCTACATCTCCAGTGGCCCTGGCTAAAACTTGAGAACTTAAAACTGAAGTGTTCATGAACCTGAACAACAGCACCATATTTTATGGGATTTCAGCAGTGTATCAGAGACACTTTACATATATATTAGATAAAAGTAATGGCCTCATTGCTATATAAATACTACAGATGTACTATGAAGTCCACGAAGATAATATAGTGGCGGATCTACAGGGGTTTGGTGGTCCAAACTAAAAAAAAATCATGTTCATTTCCTGGAAAATCATGAAGAAGAAAGAACAAGTACCAGTGCACAATAAGCTCTGTCCGTCTTGCATGAAAGTCTTGCATGAAATGATTGTGTGTACGTATAGGCCTAAGCCTGGTCCGCTGCAGCGGAACACCATGTTCGTTTTTCATTTGCTCCTTCTGGATACCGTCCAACCACTACACAAAATACCACGTGACTATAACGTACTGCGCATATCTTGCCTCCGTGAACAACATTTTCATAAACAACTTTACGAATTGTTACAAATAATTTTGATAGTGACTGACGACGGCATTGCACTTGTTGAATTTTGGTAAAATATTTGTGGTCAATTTTCGGGGACCGACCGACCGACACCCAAGTGACTTGTAGAAGCTCCTGCCAGAGCTTAAAAAAGTACACGCCTGCTAACCCCCCCTCCCCCCGATTGAAAAAAGGGCAATTCTCTTTCCATCACATTATGGGATCACATGCATAATGAGCCAGCTAGTCAAGTTCTCCTCTGGAATCCTGAAGCCCCTCGACGAAAAGGTCGTCCCAACATGACCCTGAAAACATCCATCGAGCTAGAAACTGGTCTGAGTGGTCCATCTCTTTCCAACACTATGCTCGACAGGGACAGTTGGGCCCAACTCTTCAAGTCATCATGAACATGAATGAATGAAGAAGAAGAATGCACGGTCTTTGTAGGGGAGCAAATTTGCCCTTATGATGACTTTATCACATCATTACATTATCTCTACGAAGCCACTTTGAACTACATGTAAACATTTTCAAGACAGAATTTTGCATTCCGATTTCGCAGTTCAGGGCGTGACTGTGTGTTTATATCATTGTTTACTGACTTGTTGAATCCTGTCTGAAGTTTCTGTCGGCTGTGTCCCTGGGTCGGTCCCCCCCCCCCCCCCGGCTCGCCCCTCCCTCCAGACATGCGCCCAATTTGCAGCGCAACAAACACCATTGTGTTGAGGCACTGGTCAAATTGGTGCGTCTGCTACAGTGCCAGGCGGGTTGTCCCTATATCATTACGTCTATGCTGTTTGGGTTCGGTTTGTATACATGTGTTTGATGCTGCTCACTCAGCCTTGCGCGAGCACAGCTCCGACACCCCCCCCCCTCCCTCTTGAAAATAAGATATATAGCCAAGTGTTTAGAAACAAGCGTCCAACTTGGTCATTGAGACACTTACCGCGGTCAACACCTCTAATTAGCGTGTTTACGTTGGCCTATCAGTCTGGAATGGATGCTCATTCAGCAATGGGCGGAGGCTGTTAACGGTGATTCCATCAGAAGGATTTCATTTTCAGTTTTGGTGAAAGTGGGACAACTTGATCAGTTCACCAGTAGGCACCTGCCTACAGTGACATTCGTTGAACGTGATCAAAACGCATTTACAATTAGTAGATTTGTCAAAAAAATGAAAAGGTTTTTCCCAATCCACTTGCAGTCTTCACCTCATTCGCAGCAAGCGCGGGATGGAGGAGGAACAACATTGTTACAGGAGAGTTGGGAGATAATTTGTATTTCGATCTTAAAGGCATCGTTTTGTTTTTATTTGGCAATTGATTGTGAAAGCATTGAACAAACTTTTCGAAGACAAACTTTTCGACCCTTTTTACACACGTTTTAATTTTAGTTAAATTGAGTTTATATGACTATGAGCCTTTGTGAGAATATTTACGATTGCCTCTTCGGTTAACGTGTTAATCCCTTTATTTGTTTAATTTTTTGGTGGTTCTTTTTTTTTTGGGTAGAAGAATTATTCATAAATTTTTGTGTCAAAGTATTTTTACTGAAAATGGTCTGCAGTTTAGTTTGTGTTCATATCAATTAGAGTTGCTTGTGTTTTTTATTTCAAAATGTAATTTTGAAATAAATATAAATATAATTCAAACTACATGGAAATTCGGTTTACATTTCAGTTTCAAATCATCCTGAATTGCAAGAAGCCGGTGGAGAAAGCCAATGGAAGGTCTAGTTTTACATGGTCAGGTCTCCAGAATTCCGCCAATGTCTCTTTGTCGATTTGAACGTGGGGGTATTAGTCTGCACATGTAGGGCTGCATAAGCCTGCCGACGGTTAACGGACCAGGAATAAATGCTTCATCAAAGGAATCAATGTAATCGGTACAAGCACAGACAGTGGATGAGCAGACGACGTAATTGGACTGTTTCCCATCTTATTAGGGGCCTATACGTCCGCAGAACCAAAACGATTTCCCCCCCTCTGTGTGAATCCCAGTATATGGGTCTTTCTTATGATCCTACTTTAATTTCATTGCAAGACGACAAACATGCAGAATATTCCATACCATTACCAAAGTTATACTATGAATGTCGTGTGTGTGTGTTGGTCTTAGGTCGGACGGCTTTACGTGCGAATGAACTTGAATATAGTAAGGTGTACTCAAACAAGATGTTACGCACGCATATTTAGCATAACAATGTCCAACTACTGCCCACATTGGTGGTTGGGAGAAGACTATACACGCATGGATGGGTCCCGCTTCATTCTACCAATGTACATGCTCGGACCTGTTTGCGTAGCACGGCCGAGTGGGCCCGGATATCAGCGTACTAACTCCCTTTGAGTGAAGGTAATTGTGTCATTAATTAAACGTGTCTAGATGCAGGAGCGCTACACCCAACCCGCGCTCCACCCTACCAATTAGCCCGACTAGACGAGTCGTGTTATAATTGCTGGCCCTCTGCCCACCGTCGGCTCACTCCACGATCTGTCATTTCCAAAGCAAACACTGAACCCATTGGACCTTCCGCAGCCCTCAGCGAAACCTGACTTGATTCGGCAATCCTCACACCGGGTATTTCCTGACGCAGACCTTCAAACGCCGCTGGTGGCTTGTCCTTGAGTGAACCGCATCGACGAACTTCTCTCGTTCAACTGCCAAGTTGCGGAGGAAGACGTGATTCGTGGTCAATTCGCGACTTCAAACATCTCTTTCGGTTTTTTTTCTCACCCCGAGCTAAATGCAATCGCAACCGGTTCGGTGGTGTTAACAGAGACCCGCTTAGCATAGACATTCGCACCTGCTTAATGACAGACTGATCGTAGCCGGTGGGCTAACAACTGAAGATACAACCCCTCACAGCAAACCCAGCTTTCCGATCACAACTAATCATGGCAACCGTGACGGTACTAGTCCTCGTTCTTGCCCATTTAGCAACCACCCAACTCATCCTGGGGGCTGATACCAGCAGCAGCCAGTCTACTCCCCTGAGTTCACGGATGGAGAGCAAGATCCTGAGTATGCTTGGCTTGAGCGAAAGACCCAGACCCAGGCCCAACGCCACAGCACCACAGTTCATGCTAGACCTGTACGACAAACTGCAGAATGGATCCGACTCGGATCATACCACGGGGCGGTGTTCATTTCCTGACCCAGCCTTCCCCGGTAACATTGTGCGCAGTCTCACAAATTCAGGTAAATATTCATCTTTGTTTCTCCCCAAAGCAATCATTTCACAAACGATTTCACAGTTTGATCCACTGTTTTTTTCTTCAAATTTTCACAATTTTAAAATAGAAAGTGGAGTGCTGCCATAGGCCTATTTGGCAAGACTAAACACCAACTAGAATTTTTTATTATGAGACTTTCCACATTAAAAATAACATTGAAATATTGAATTATTAAATGTTTTCGTCGATGCGGTTGTGTTACTCTGATATTGTTGCAGATGTACAAACATTTGGTAGTTAAGCTTAAAAACCTTGACATTCTACTGTGATGCAATACCCAGATATTGAGCAAACTCAGCGCTCAATTGACTGACAGTCCGCAAGGGCAGATGACCCACAATGTCAAGGCGAACACTAACCCTCATGCCGCTGTCGTTTATTTAGACTGCACTTTGCGATGTAGGATGAGTAATGAGCTGCCGGCAGACAAAAACAAAACACTGCTCAGAGATCTATCAAGAAAAACCCCGCGCACTAACAAGCATGTTGAAATATCTGTCCGGGAGGGCAGCCAGTACAGCGCTGTGACTGAGTCAATGTTATCGTTTTGTGGCGCGCGATCCTCGACTTTTAACCCCCGAGAAATTAGCAAAATCTGGTTTCCGGTTTGATCACGTGACTTCTAATTGCGCCCCTTGGATCCTGCATGTTGCAACTTTTATTTGATTTCCTATAGAATTTTGGTTTCCCCTTCGGTTAATTTTGATCATCTCTGATGGTTATACCGGTGATGCTTCATGGCACTTCCTTTTTATAAAGTTTTAGTTGTGTTGCATTGCCTACTTTATCACACCTCACGAAAAAGATTAACCTTGCAGTTGCACACGTGATTTTGACAGATCTTGTAAATCCAGCGGGCTTTTTAGAAGATTTGCTTATGCTTTCTTAACTCTAACCCGGGGTACTTAACCGGCATAGGAATGCTGTAGCACAAACGGCTGCGGCACTCGGTGCACGCGTAAAATCCTCCCTCACATTGCTCGCATCTTGATGATCTTTCGGAATTTTATGCAAGTAACAGGTGCGAATCTATTCAAGGCGGTAGCACACTTTGGCTTTTAACACCTCTTGATCACCTTGTTAATGGTTTTATCACCTTGAGTAATTCCTGTTTACACAGTGGTGAAATCATGTTTGGCTACGTGCGGCTAATCTTGAAAGGGCCAAACAATTCGATTAAGCGATCAAGCAAATTCATTTGCTTGGGCAAGCAATCTGTCCAAGAATATTTGGCTAATTTAGAAACGGGTGTTATATGCTCGCCCGGGAAACGATTTCAACTTTGTTTGTTGTAAGGATAGAGGTTGTGTCCACATTTATGTGTGCATTTGCCAAAATGTTCATGGCTTATAATAAAAGACATCAGTATTTTCACATTATTTAATAACAAATCTTATTGGTTTCTTTTTAGGTACAAAACTGAAGGCATTGACGAAATCCGACCGACGTTTTCGTCAAATCCTCCATTTCAACCTGTCATCCATTCCTGCTTCGGAGACCATCACTGGAGCTCACCTTAGGCTTCAGTTCCTGGACACCATCAGGAAAGTCAGGCCCACAGCAACAGTTCACCTCAAGCTGTACGAGATCGCCCAGACTGTATCTGAGATGAGATCAGCCCGGATGGAGGACACCAGAAGCTCCTTTCGGTTGCTGACATCGTTGTCTATGGACCTGACGGAGTCTGGATCGGAGACCATCGACATGCTGCCCATAGTTCAGGAGTGGAGGGCCGGCATGAGCCAGGACACCGGTCTCTACGTGGCCATGGACATCCACAAGACGGTGGGTCTACCCAAGAGGAAGGCCAACGCCATCTTGGCCAAGAAGCTGGGTAAGCTGAGACACCGGACGGCGACGCTGGTGGTGGTGTCGGTTGACGGTGACAAGTGCCGTAACCGATTCAGACGGAGCGCCGAGGAACCGGAGGTGACTGCCCCCGAGCCACACCCGAATCTGTGCCAGAGGCGTCGCCTGTACGTCAGCTTCCGAGATGTGGGCTGGCAGGATTGGATCATCGCACCCATGGGTTACCAGTCTTACTTCTGCGGTGGGGATTGCCCGTTCCCGCTGGACAGTCGGCTGAACGGCACGAACCACGCCATCATTCAGTCCATGGTCAACTCGGACAGTCCGGCCGCGGCCCCCAAAGTCTGCTGTGCGCCTACCAAACTCTCGGCCATCTCAATGTTGTACTTTGACAACGAAGACAATGTGGTCTTAAGACAGTACGAAGACATGGTCGTTGAATCTTGCGGATGTCACTGACGTGTACTATCATAACAATGTTAATGATTACATAAACGAAGATGAAAACAAAGTTCAGAAATGTGTGGAATCCTATTCCGTTGTTGAACACATTTTGCTAAAAATTATTTTGAGAGGAAAGTTTCTAAAACTAAATCTCGCAGTGTGTAAGTTAAAAAAAAAACCCTCCCAAAATGGCGATAGGTAGCCTACGAAACGAATCAGTAATCAGTATTTTGGTGGCACACATTCTGAACTCTGTTTATTATTATATGATTGTTACTAGACACGCTAAGCGATTCTCTAGATATGTTTTTATACACTATTTCTTATACTCCTGTACTGTACAGATATGCTCATATGCATGTAAATGATCAAATCAACTATTTAATGTGTTAAAGTGTAAATATGAACAAATATTAAACGCCAGCGTGAGCAACATCTTTCATAAATTAATATTTAAAAAAGAAGAAGACACTAACCATGTCCTTGCTCACCTTAATTACGAAGAAATGAATCCATTGTCAGCAGTGCCTTAATGTTAATCCCTGATGCAGTAAGAGCTCCACGCCTACAGTTAAATATATTAGTATTACCCTTTTTGGTCACAGTCTCTCATATTTTTTTCCCAAAAAATATGACAATTTTCACAATTTAAATGAACAGACAAAACCAATGCTGGCCTCGACACTGTAAGAACATAACTTGGTGCTTGGTAGAGTAATCCCACTGCAACCCAATTTGGGCTAAACTGGGATGTCGTGCATCCTTTTTAAGTTAAGAAAATTGAGAGAATAATTTAGGCCCTAATCCGTCTTTGATCGAAGGTTGCATTTTTTGTTTGCTGTGAATATGCCTCCGTGTAAGCGGGTGCTTTTCGTTTTTCAAGTGAATAAATGAGTGTAAATAAAATGTATTGAATATGTGCAAAAAAAACTCGGAAACAGTTGGTTCGTTGAGCCTTTCCTTGTAATCGACGCGCCAAATTCCTTTTTCCCCGTTTAAATTCACTGAGCTAACCTGGAGCACGCCGACTTTGCATTTTACTTTTCTGCCCGTGGATGTTCCTTTTTTTTGCCCCCTATTGTTTTTCGATGATGTTTGTTTGTTCGTTCTATTTTTCGAATGTTGTTGGGTAACATGCATGGTAACATACTACTGGTATAACATAACTGACGAACTTCAATAGCATCCAAGTCTCTTGGTGCAAGTCTCTTGGTGTAGCCTTTAGGTGACGTCACATGCGTGCAGTCTCCCACCTTAAAAAAAAATTGTCGTGAGACGGGGGCATTTGTACACGATTAGGTAATATAGGATTGTAGGTTTTATCAGCCCTCGAATATGGTACGAGCCTTCCCCCCCCCCCCCCCCCACACACTTATTGATTTTCGGAGGCCTAAGTGTCCGGAGAAAAAAAAGGTCTACATTTAACCACGCCTCGCTGCAAACATTAAGGATCCACCCCTGCTAGCCCCCCTAAAATATAGGCTCTAGCACCGCGCCTGGCAAGCCTTTTTTTTTTATACACTTTCCTTTTATAATCCTACACCACAATTCTGTTTATTAAACGCTTCAAACTTCAATGTACATGAAAACCGGTAAAATCCATTAACAAATAATACATAACAACTGGAAACTTTTGGCCGGGTATGGGGGAGGGGTGGGTTGCGTTGAGTGCGGGGGACATAATTTAACATGAAGTAAACCCCTTATTTGCAGGCACATGAGGACTATTTAGGAAACCAGGGAAAAAAAGTGTCAGGTGTGCATGATAGTGTCTATTTTTTTTTGTATGTGTGAGGTGATGTAATCAATGATATTATTCCATTAATTGGGGTGGGGTGGGGGGCGTTAAACGCTACTTACCGTAAAGACATATTGACTCATATTAATCGTATCGTACTCCAGGGGAATCCAGAACAACATTTAAGGCGTGGGACAGAGTAAGAAGGGGCTGACCGACCAAACGGCTAGTCATTGAAAATTTGAAAAGCCAGTGGAGATCTTATTTGACGCCAGGGCGCTCGTTTTTCCCTTTGTCCTTATTCTTTTTTTTTTCTGAGTAAGATTTCAGGATTCCATGGAGAGAAAAGGGGATGAGTAGAAGCAGTAAGTTTAAAAAAAGGCGTCTTCACTCGTTCTCTGGTTTATTAAAAAAATATGGGGGGGGGGGGCAATGTCGCAGATTTGGGGTCCTGACTCAGGGTCCACTTTTATTCATGTCTTCAGCGTGTCTAAACGATGGTTTAAAGCCACCGCGTGACAGGGCTCTCGTCCAATAGGAATGGGTAAACTGGCCCAGGCATTTATGAAAATGGAATTCTAATCTAAAGCTAAACTTTATTAAGTTTAATACTATTTTAGTTTAAGGTGACAATAATTAAATGAATTGGACAAAATGTTTTTTAAGAGAAGCTGGGAAAAATGTGAAATAGGGCCTCCAAAAATGAACCCCCCATTTGCTTCCTTTATAAAATAATAATAATAAAAATAATAATAATAATATCTTAATTCACCGAATTACTTATTTTATCCTATTTCCCCCTGCCCTTTCAAAGACGATATATTTATTGGGCAATGCCAAATACCCGTTTCTTATTCCTGCCTCTGAATATGTTTTCCACATGTTGGCCGTCACGCAACAGCAAAAGTGCATACCCAGCATGGAATCTCGGAGGAAGTTCAATCATTAGGACCGAGGTTGGACCAAGGGAGACAGGCCTGTCAAAGTTGGTATCCGCCCTGACCTGGCCCCCTCCACTCCCCCTCCATGACCACCAAGTGCTGCACTCCTTTATAATTGCCTCGTCTCTCAGTCACATCCCAGTCACAGAACACAGAGTTTGGTTTTTGGTTTCCGCTCTTTGCTTTGATTCGCCATATTGGAATTAATGAAAGCGAGGTTACCAATATTTTGTGATTCAAAGACTCTTCGGAGAGTCGTTTGGTATGGGAATCTATATTCAAGCATCCAAAGATGTGGGTATAGCCTCTTTATCCGATCGAGGCAATGTCGTTTTCATCAGTGATTTAAAGGCGAGTAAATTTGCTATCAAATGCAGCTTGAATGTCTTTTTCGTTTATGTAACATTTTTTTGGGGTGGGGGGTGGGGTGTGGGTTGGGATTGGGGTTAGTGTCAATCCTCCTAGCTAGTAATGGACGAGGTGAACACGACGGGAATTAGGATATGACGAAGTGGGTATTTAGGTAGGGTATGACAAAGATGAAGATTAATTGAGGAGGAAAATTGGGAGGTGATCAGGAGAGAAAAAACTGATGGAAACTTATAAGGGGCACACCTTTGTTTGAAATAAGCACGTTACGGTATGTAAAAAGAACAACAAGCAGTAACTTGAAAAGGCACTTGGGCCTGTGCTATTTTCTTGCATACTGAGACCTGTTCCGGACAACTTGCCAATCATTGCGGGGAGGCACATGCCTTATACCTACCTGCCGGAGCGGCCAACCCACGGTACGGGCCTCCGGCTTCAGCGGTCGGCTTTGACACTGTGAAGGTGTGTTTATTGGTCTTCGGTTGGGATCGACAAATTCGTGTACTTGGACGTGATTAAAGTGCAATTAGCTGTGACGAGCGTGTTTTTGGTGGCTAGGCGATGATAGCCGTCACTGTCAGCGCGGCCGTGGACAGATCTTGGGGCCGCGCTGTGATCAGTTTTTGGGGGCACATGGTACTTCTGCTTGCCCCAAAATGTCACCTTGTGGGTTCCTAGATACACATATAACAGGTTTTTATACACACAATGTAGTCCCAAACAAATAAAGTATTGGCAGTACTTAAAACAATTCCAGCATGAGTTTTTTTTTAACCCCGAATGCCATAACATACGATCACCGTAACCCTGTTACTCGCATCCACTGCTATGTATATTGGAAATCCAGTTCTACTACACCCTTCACTGATACTAAAATCAGCACACAAAATTAATGTTGCTCCTTTTGATTTAATGGTTACCGGTATGGTGAGAGAGGGAGAGACATGATGCTATGGCGATGACCTCCCGTTATCCTCGTGCACAGATGTTTATAGGTAAATCATGTAACTATTATTTCTATCGTGTACAGGCCTCCTAGATTCGGGTGGCGTCCGGACCCCTCCCCTCGCTTTTTAAAATTTTCCAAGCTGCTGGTCCCCCAAGGTTGACAAGAAATTGCCGCTGCCACTGGCGGCGGAACCGGGGGGGGGGGGGGGGGGGGGGGAGGGGGACAGGCGGAACCGGGAGGGGGACAGGGGGACCATTGGCCTCCCCACTGTTTTCCACTGGGGATAAACATTAAACATAAAACATATAAGTTCTCTAGTCTACCATTTCTGGAAATTACAGGATTGAATGATCGCTTGCGATCACCGGGAAGGCCTACATACACTGTAGTTGCCATGGTATAGGCGACGAAACTGGGGGGGGGGGGGGGGGGGGGGGGGGGGTGTAACAGTCACCGAAACGACAAACATAGCAGGGCGCCCTCCCCCTCCCGCTTTTCGAATTTGCAACGTCCAGCCGGCACCGGCTCTGCTTTGGCCCCCGGGCCACTTTCAAAACTGTTCCGCCGCCGCTGGTCGCTGCTGCTGGGTATTCACACGCAAGATTGTGCAAATGTAAATAGAGGGCGCCCTTTGAGTAACCGCGTAGAGAAAGAGAGAAAATGATTGTTGACAGGTAATCGTAGCCGTAACTGTCAACACGGTGTCCCTGAAATGTAACATGTAATGAAAAACAAAGCAACTTTTCAGCCATTATTAAATATTATGGGTCACCACGACATTATTGTAAAGGGAATTTGGCCTGTTTTAGGGGCTACACAAAGTGGATACATTCTAGTGCGGCGAGTCTATACACGTGGAAGCAATCTGAAGTGTGTTGATATAAGTTGACTTTAATAGTCGTGTTATTGTCCATTATCACACACCTAAACGCAGTAATGGTTTCTTGGACGAGTTGCTACCAAACAAGTTGGATTTAGTCAGAGACGCTGACTTTTAATTCTTAACTCCAAATTTATTTTATTGGTCGGTGAATTGGTCGTTTGCAGGCCATACAACGACATCGTAATACTAGACCCGTCGTCGTTCGAGGCAGAACTAGCTGTTGGTGGACTAACACATCTAAAAGCAGTTGAGAACTTACTTAAAAACATGAGGGACGAAAATTCAAGCTGACAGCTATCGCAACTTGCATCCACATTTCCACGACGTTTACGTACAAGTTCATGCGAGCAAAATGAAGTGTTGAGATGCAACATATCGGCCCGTTCACTCCAAGTCGACAAGTAATGATGACGTTTGTCATCGCTCTGAACAGATGGTAACGGTTCGAGATCAAGGTTTTGATATTGGTCTCTAGCGGTGATCAGAGAATACCATATGCCTGATAATGTGATGATGACTTATTCAGATGTGTCCTAATACACATGACGCACGCGGCGGGTTTTCCCTGAAAAATGCTGAAAAGGGGCTGCACATTAGGAGTGACATTGAAAAGAAACACCCCAAATTTTAGGGGTTAATTCACATTTACAGAAGTAGAACGACGAAGCGTCAACAAACGAAGCTTAAGAAGACTGGAGGTGACAGAGTGCAGTATGATTGAATATGAAATTGAAGGTGAACTAAGATGTACATTGGGTTACAATCTTCTTAAAGGGAATGTGCATCATTGGCTTTTGCTGTAATTTTCAGCAATTAAGTATTTGAGGGGTTAGTATAATCGATCAAATATTGTTACACTGACATGTTTGAAGTTTTGTGTTCGAAAATGCTGAAAAAACCAAGAAAAACAATAATGTTCAAGTAGTCTGGTTCCCTGACTCCACTAAAAATGAAATGGATCAATTTATAGATGCCGGAAAATTGTAAGGTAAGGGAACCAGTCTAGCTGGCCTGCACCCGTTCATAAACATGTAACCAATAGCAAACAAAATTTGAACTGAAACAATATGGTAAATTTGGAGCAGAAGTTGAAAATAGTTAGGTTATTCCAACGGTGGTCGGCCGACCACCGTTGGAAATGTATACAAAAATACCATTTTCTTCAAAATGACTTCACACCAGGTGCCATAAGTTTACAGGATGCTTTAGACTGTCATTTACCAACATCCTAGTAAGATATTTCGTAAAAACTCGGTAGTTTTAATTTTCGATGTTTGCAAATGTTGTTAATTCCCTTTAAAGGGAATGTACAACATCTGCCTTTGCTGCAATTTTCAGAAATAGATAAATTAGAGGATTAGTATGTTATAGCAAATATTGTTACACTGACTTGTCCCACGTTTTGGGTTCGTAGATGCTGGAAAAACCAATCATATTCTTGTAGTCTGGTTCCCTGACCCCCACTTAAGATGAAATGGAGCAATTTATAGATTTTGGGGAATTGTAAGATCAGAGAATCAGTCTAGCAGGCTTGTAGTCTTCACAAGTGTGTTATCAATTGCAAAGAAAATGCAGACGAACTAAATATGAAAAATTAGGAGCACTTTTTGGAAAAAAATAGCCTGTTTTCTCCAACGCTGGTCGGCCGACCAGCGTTGGAAAAAAACCAGTTATTCTTGAAAATGTCAGCTCACCAGGAGCCACAACTTAACATGATGCTTTAGACTGTCACTCCATAACAATCCATGACAGTAAGATATTTCGTGATAATTTGATCATTTCGTTTTTTGATGTTTGCAAATGTTGTATCTTCCCTTTAAAGGGAATATACAACATTTGCAAACATCGAAAAATAAAACTACCAAGTTTTGCGAAATACCTTAATAGGATGTTGGTAAATGACAGTCTAAAGCATCCTGTAAAATTATGGCACCTGGTATACTGTCATTTTCAAGAAAAGTGGTATTTTTGTATCAATTTCCAACGCTGATCGGCCGATCAGCGTTGGAAACAACTGGCTTTTTTTCAAATACTGGCCCCAATTGACCATTGCACTTGTTTGCAATCGATTACAAACCCATGAACGGGTACGAGCCAGCTAGACTGGTTCCCTGACCTTACAATTCCCCAATGTATGTTAACTGCTCTGTTTCTTCTTATATGGAGTCAGGGAACCAGACTACAGGAAAATGATCGTTTTCTTGGTTTTAGTAGCATTTTCAAACCAAAACCTCCAAAAAGTCAGTGTAACTATATTTGCTTTATATTTCCAACAATTCCATCCATATCTGAAAATTACAGCAAAAGCAAATGATGTATATTCCCTTTAATGGACACCATTATAATTACAGCGATAGCTTACGTTGTTACGGTTTATAATTTCTAAGAATTCATGCTGCCACCATCCCTTATTTTCGTGATGTATGGCGCGCCGCCCTGATCCCAATTAATTCACATTTTTCTGGGTTCGTTCTTTGCTGAAGCTTGACAATGACGGGAGAAAAATGTAGGTGTGCTAGATAGCTAGATGAACATTGCATTGGTTGGTACTACACTCAACCAAAAAAGAAAGTCCCCCTTAATACTTTTTGTCTAACTCAAAAACTACTGGGCACATCTTGAGCGAGAGGTGCCCAGTAGGTTTTGAGTTAGACAAAAAAGTTTTGGAAGGGGGGGGGGGGGACGGGGGCTTTCTTTTTTGGTTGAGTGTATATTCCCATTTCCAAATCTGTTTTACTGATTCAAGGAACAACACACTAAATCTGAAGCAGGTTGTTAAAAAAACGTATATCTGTCAAAGTTTCAGCTCTGTAGATTAACCTTTTTGAGAAAACTGTAAAAATGCATCTTCATTTTTCTCGGTGCAAAGCAAAGGTTTCCGTTAAAAGCGCGATGGCCAGGTTCTCACCATTGCGAGGAAATGATGGCCATTCCTCTTTTCTCGAAAAGGACAGCATTACCAGGCGCATTGGCTTCACAGGATTCATTCAAGTACGATGATTCACGATATATATTTTGGCAGTGTCATTATTGAATGTTTGCACATGGTGTCTATTACGTTTAACCGAAAACCGCTATGAATGTTGTGCAAGCGTGGGTGGAATACACATTAATACTGACTTTCAGGAAGGGGGAACCTAAACAGGCATGAAATGAAATTCAGTGATCGCATTCGCCTTAACTTCGAATTGTTTAAAGATCGGGCTCCGTAAGTCACAATCACACACCTTCGGCCGAATGAGTCTGAAATGCAGTACGCTGTGGGTGTCCATGTTGTAGATTGGGCCAAGGAGAATTAATAATTGCAACTTTTACTATATTTGATCGCAAAAGAATCGTGTATTTTTTAGGCCAATTTTTCCATCAGGTAAGTACTGATGAACATGGGCGTCGCCAGGATTTTTTCTAGAGGGGGGCAAAATTTTTTTTGCCATTTCTCAACATATTCTCGATTTATCAGTTTTAGAGGGGGGAAGGGACATTTTGCCCCCAACTCATTAAATTTACACCACTTTGTCTTCGCGCCTCTTTTTCTTTTCTTTTTTCTCTTTTTTTTTTCTTCTTCTTCTTCTTTTTTTTGTTGGCTTTTCCGGGGGGGGGGGGGGGCAGTGCCCCCCCCCCCCCCCCCCCTCCCCTCGCGACGCCCATGCTGATGAATATGCCAGGCATTCAAGAGACGTCGTATGGAATGGATCGCCTAGTCTACACACACTCGATAGGTATTTTCCTTAGGTCGTCTCGCCTTTCGGTAAGTTTATAAAGTCGAATCGTCAGACCAAGAGGGTTTGGAGGCGCATGCTATAGACGAATCTGGGTACGTGAACACAGTAAACGCACAAGGCCCTCTTTCAATGACGAACGCATTGTGCAAGCTATATACCTTCATTTTGTTTGTAAACATTGGCGCCATTTTCTGGCAGCCGCAAGCGCATAACTTGAAACCGTGGTTGGCAACATATTTTTCCAAAAAAGTCCCCATAACGCCCTCAATACATAGTAAAAAGGCATGTTATTATGCTGTAGCTTTGTTGACAATAATGTATTTCCAACAATCAAATAATATTTTGGTTATCTGCATATGTAATAACTCTTCTTCATTTTTGCAATGTTAGACCTTCCATAGTTGGCAACCCTTGGTTGGCAAAATGTGCAGTTTGCCAACCAAGCGAAGAAAGGTCTATTGTGTGAAGTTACTCGTCCATGCTGGATTATCTGAACAATACCTAGCACAATGCTTTCGCCATTGAAGGGGGCCTTCGTTATAGAATTGATAGCATACCCAGATATGTCTACACGTCTTCAAGCTCTGCCAAACCAGAGCCCAAGGAGCTGCTAAGAAGATGTTAAACTTTGCTTAGCAGTTTTCAGTGCCGAGTCAATAGCAGTTTAAAAAAAATGGCATTTTTTCCTGGTAACTAGCTTTTTTGGTCGAGCCACACAATCCAAGCTTAGCAGCTGCATAAAACGATTGCCCCAGGTGACCACAACATGGTGTTCACCAGCACAGATTGGCAATACCCCATAGGCGGTTGTGCCATTGTGTACAACTGAGTATTTATTTAACGGGTATTTTGGTTTCAGATGCTCATATGGGCGTGCTCAGAACGGTCAACTTCAAAGAAATCCAGCCGTGACATTGATTCGTAATTACTACCGCGGAGGGCCCACCGCTGTGACACCATCTGTGGGTTTTTTCTTTGGACAGGCGAACGCTTTACATTTGTCGCACAGATTTCGAATAATTGTTATTCAACCAAGTATTTGCACATGCTTACCATTCGGGTTTTCAAGAGCGAAAACTACGTTAGCACTGATCAGCAACACTTGTTTTTTGAAAAACAATTGGGATATTTTTCTTTTTCTGTGTAAAAGCAGTTGAATTCAGTCCAGGCCCTCCGGAGTCGTTTTTACAAAGCCGTGTGGTCGTAAATGTTGAAGAGCGCCCCCATGGTGCTCGTTTGGTTTAGTCAGAGCGCAACTTCGTTACAGCGCGCGAGGCCCATGGGAGTTGGAAGGGGAGAAGGGGTCGTCATTTCCTGAAAGCTTTGTTACGATCCGTTTGTCATCGCATGACCGTGTAACACTTTCACTGTTTGGATTTACCATTAGAAAAGTACACAGAGATGGTTATCTCGAGCCAGGCAGTGTACTGAGGGTAGCGGGGAGATCGCATGGGGAGCTTTGATGACTGGCAGGTCTGTCGGCTAGTGGGGGAGGAGGGACAAATTGCCCGGTAGCCAATCACAGCCCAAGTACGGTCACTCAGCTTTCTATTGGGAGATAGGTGCTCGCAAGTCCAGCCGTCGAGATTTTTTTCTTTATGGCGCACCAGGTAAGGCAGTTCAGGTAAAGTTGCGTGAGGGTCACACATCGACGCCAGTGACTTTCACTGAAGTGTCCGCCTATAGATCGGCACATGTAACATCCCCGGTGAGGCACCTGCAGGTGAAACAATCTCGAGTCTAAAAACAGTCGGAAAATCGCTTCCGTAGTGCTCAGTGGGTGTAAACCAACATGCTACTACTTGGCTTCCAAATCGGACGGATTTGCGCTGCGGGTTTCGCTATAAAGCCAACCGCGACGTGAGTCTCAAGGAAGTAAACTTGCCGATGATCCATATTGCCACAACCACACACCCGGGGTCGGAATTACTGGACAGGCTTCAATCAGTTTAAAAAAAAAAAATAGTACTTTGATTCTCTGACCATGGTCGGCCGAATCAGAGCTGACACGGCAGCCATGTGTTGTACAGTCGAGTCGAGCGCGGATATGCGTGTCATTTGATCGAGCAGTCACACTTCGGGTCCGGGACCTCTGCAGCGTAACTTGCCGTTTATGCACCTTGCACACACATGGAGATTGCAAGTTGGTTAATAGGTGATAGTAGTAATAAGTGGACTTCAAAGCGAGCTAGCCTGCTGAGGCGAAGCTGATTGACATCGGGGTAGTGGAAGCACACGATCAACCGAACAACTTGGCTCACATACCCGCACTCACACACCATCACGGTCTGCCTATATAAGATGTCTTTTGCACATGTCTAACCCTCACACCTGCAACTCTCCTTCTAACGACTTTGCAGCCGAGTGTTGTGATGTTGTAACATTAAATGGAAATATCTCACACGTATCAGGTAGTGGTTGCACCTGTCTTCCTCTGACGGGAGTTAACTTGGGAGATTACTGTGATAGGCTCGCTGATTGCATAGCCAAGCAAGTGAACGTCTTCCTAGCTGTGCCCGTGAGTCAGTGCCCTCATCGGATAGCGAGTGCTGTGCCGGCCCGCTCCATCGGGCGGGCCCCTTGGAACATAACTGTGTTGCCCCGGACCTGGCTGGGCACAATCGTGCCTTAAAACGTAAGTAAAAACCAAACAAATGAACTTCTTTGTTTAACTGCACGGGGTACCTTTGTCTATTTCTAGTATTCTGAGCACAATTTGCCAACGATATCCGGATTGTACTTCATCGCTTTTGACACATTACCTAATCGTTTTACCAAACAAAAATGTTTTTAAAGGGAGAATTTCCACTTTTATCACTCTTTTTAATTGAACGTCTAACCGTTAAATCTTGTACAAACTTTTTAATTTGCCATCCTTAATCCAATATTAAAAATAAGCAGAAAGAATACATATATTTTTGTCAGTCGGTAGAATTTTTGTAATTAAAAAAAATACATTTCACCGCGACCTTGTCTTTCGCCTGTTGTACACGATGTGTTCTACTCGCATGCAACCTCGCGTAGATTTACTCATATTATCATTACTGCGTGATTTAACCTTACAACACTTGTCCTTTGCACTCATCTCTGACGCGTGCACTTATCCTGACACTGAGACTGATCTACAAATTCTTTAGGTCAACTTGGCCAACCCAGAACGACATGATCCATTGCCGTTTAGATCATTTCCTTCGTAGCAGATGCGCCTCTTTTCATTACGCTCACGCCAACCCTAAAGTCACTCTGAGTCTTCTTGACAAGGCAAGCAAGGCCGCCATTACCGGCACTTTGTTTTCTATGGGTATTACCGGCAAGCTAGATTTTATACTCTAAAGTCTACGGCCTGCAGAAGGTGTCCCTGCGTGAAAATCGCTGCCTAGTGTTGTATATCGGGGATTGAATTGTATATAAATGGCCCGGGCCGACTCAAACATTAGGTTTTATATATGCCGAAGCAATTTCAAGACTGTCTAAGAACATTGGGGAATACCAAGCGCAGCATACCCTAAATGCCATTCGGTTGCTGCTGATTGTCAAGGAATTACCCAGCCTAATATAAGCCCTGTTGGTACCCTACCATCGTCAGAAACAAGCCAGTCCGACAGTGTACCCAGGTCGTATCGTCTTACCTGTGTATTTAATGACACATACAGGTAGACCACGGGAGTTCCATATTTTGGATGATTTGATACCTATTAATGCAATTGGAATAGCCTAGGTTTCGAGCGAGACGAGAACCGGGCGAACGGCGGTAGAAGGTCGCGGTAAATCACTCGCTCTTCAAGGGAGCAGCAATCGCCACCACCTGCCTCAACTGTGACCAGTTTTTTTCTTCTTCATAATTATTTTGGTCCACACCAACGCCAACAGTGCTCTCAACACTTCGTTTGATTCGAGAAGGGAAGCTCGTTGAGGAGTTTTCCTCTCTCCTTTTCTTTTCACTCGTCTTGTTGGTCTTATCCGACAGGCTGCGGTTCTACTCTCGGCACACGGTGGAAAGATTGCCGTAGCGGACTTTAATTGGTAACACAAGTCCCGCAGGTGATCCGTTGACATTTCATTTTCCCTTTCATTGGTCGCTCAATCAGCGGTCTGCCCGGGCCCTCCGTCGTGTGATAGCAACCAAACGCTGCTAACGACAGCTTGGGGAAGTCTTACAAGAATGCCTTGTGTACATTGCCGACTCGTCTCCCGGGAGCAAAAAATCCACCTCGCAGCGGAAGGAAAAAATATAGACCTCGATAGTTGGTCGGTATTAAGACTGTTAGCAGTCGTTGCACACAACTGGTCCGGTTATTGAAAGTTGCCGTTTTAAGGACGGGATCGGCCGAACGGTGATAAATTTCAGAGGCACGTTTGTGACAGTAGCCAATCAAAATGCTAACTTGACTTCCAAGGACTCAAAGTAATGGATGAAATATGGCTGTGGGAACCAGGTGATAAAACCAATGATATTAAATCTTATTTTCTTCTTCAGTAAAGCCATACTTTCATGCAAGGTAGACGCTCTGAAGCTCTCTACTGAATGGTTCGCGACAAAGAGTTGTAATTTATAAAGGAAGTGGAGACGTGTAAAAAGCGACGCAAAAATTGAAAGTATGTCAGGAAAATGCTTCTTTCTGGTTTTTTTGGGGGTACCACAGGATACACAATTCTTAGCATTTACATTAGTCACTGAGACTGAGAGCGCCAACACGTAGTAATTCATATTGTTTACTAGCCATATTTCAAATGTCATGAAGAAACAAAATGATAAGACATCTGCAAGATAAAGAAATATATTTGATTTAAACAGGACACTTTGATTATTTACGTAACGGTGATTTTAAGTGCGTTCCCGTGCTCTACAACATGTTCGATTTTCTTTTCTATTAATACATTTCAACTTGTATGTTTTATTCCAACCCAAAAAACCTGTTCTTCCTTTCTGGGCGTCTGCAGCCTCTGTAAAAAAAGGGTTTTTGTTTTGGGCACAAACAGAAATGCTTTTCGGGCAGACTGGCTCCCTGTCCGTACATTATCGATACTGATTGTGGGGCGGGAACCAGCCTACCCCTCGAGAATCCGGGAAGTATTGTCTGGCAGTCAATAATACAAAATTGTAAAGTAAAAATTCAATAACTAAACGTGGGCCGATTTTGTTTGTCGGTGTCTCGTTCAAAAGTGAATAACTTTTTGTATTGCTGGAAAATAAAATAGCAATTTAGAAAAGGAATCTTTTTCGGACTGAAACTCGAAAACAGCACGGGGAATGCACTAGTCTTTAGAGGGTACGTGCTTGATGACCAATTGGTGGAAGCCTCTGTTTATTGGCCAGGTATTGTTAAAACTGAAAAGGTGTACTTCCGTCCGGAGATTGCGAAAATTTAGTATTCCAATATTTTTTTTACTAGGCATATATCAAATGTCCGGATACAGAAAATCCACATTATGTCTTGAAAACCGAATGTTGGAAAATTCCATTCATTTAAATCCGACGCAGCCTTTCCACTGCTCTATTTTTGAGGACAAAATTGTGTATCCCGAAATTTATTCGTGCAATTACTCCACGGAAACAGTAATTTTGTTTAAACGTATTTGCGTAAAACGTTGTGATTTGAACTATCGTTCTAACCATGGACGGTCATATCGCAAGAAACCTGTTTTAGCGTCCCAAAAGGGCGCAATTGTCCCTTTAACATAATGTATGCAAGGAATTGATTTGGCGTGGAGCGGCAAATGCTCATTCATAAGACCTTATTGGAAAGGTGGCCTCATAAAACCTCAATATTCGTGATCTTGCACCCAGTGTGACCAAATTTGTAATCACGTCAATGGCTCACTCACCGCCTAAACTGCATGCCAATTCTATTCTAAAGCCTATTACGTACAATAACTTTGGTCTACCAAAATAAAAATAAAACAATAAGATAAAGCTTTACGGGTAGCAACTGGTAAATGTCTTTTGTGAGTTTGTGAGGTCCTGAAAAGGACAAATGAAACAGAGTTTTCACACAATGCTCTTGTAATATCAAGTAGATGAATATGAAATATATGCTGCTTAACCGAAGCCTTATGCATTTATGCCAGGACAAGTTGTGTGGTGCACGCTTCACCCATCATGATGCAAGTTCCAACGATCTTTTCTTATCACCTTTTTTCCCTCATGCCATCTGTAAAATTCCTTCCTTGAAGCGCGTGAACATTTTATTTCTGGGGCGAGAAGTCATTGTCCACTCGTTCAGTCCTACCCTCGTCTAGACGACCCACATGCTAGAACGTGATCCCTAAGAAAGACCATAATCGCTTAGCAAAACACACCAGCGGAACCGTGACGTCACAAGTCCAAACTCCAAACAAGATTCGTCCGAAATCGAGGCTCCTGTCGATGTTTACCGTGAGCTGCTGCAGGCTGCCCTCCACGGCAAAAGTTATTGGAGAAAGAGTCATGGTTTTATGGCTCCATGGATAAAACCAGTATTACCATTATAGGCACCCATCTGCCAGCACTTTCCTATTCCATACACATGTCCCTTGTTAAGTAACCGTTAAACCAATTATCGAATTATCAAGTGTATCAACAAGTGATAAAATAGACATGGCAGCCCCGTAAGCTGTTAATTTGCTCAATCGACACGCTGATTATATACTGCGCAGAGAGGAGAGAGACATCTCGTTTGCGTAGAAATCCAAATTTCATGTCCTACGATACTACACTGGAGAGCAAACCATCAAATAGCGCAAAGTGACATACTGGTTTACAATTTGACGACTGTAATAGTCCATGAACCAGCAAAAACAAGCTGTTGTCAAATCGGCCATGTTGACATACTTGTCCATGATCATTCAAGCAGCAATGTCTGAACAGTTTCGTAGGCGAAGTATATTACGGTTGTCCTTTTAAAATCTGTACTGGTTTGGATTTGGAACGACCCAAAAGAAGTTACATTCTTTTGTTCACAAGTGCCTTGTCAAGTTGTTGGAAAGGGCCTTTGTTTCTTGCCTTTAAGTAAGTAGTTTCCCCAATACATTTTAGACTAGGCTTCAGTATGTCGTGCGTTCCGAATTGATGGATCTTTTTTTTTGTTATGGAGACATGTCTTCTTACCGTCTTCTGATGAATTATTTGTAGATATGGCATCGTAATGGACAAAACAATAGTTCAAGTTTAAATGATAACTAAAAGGTTTCAGTCTATGGATCTAAGTAGCGACTTAATCAAATGGAAGAGTCTTGAAAGGAAAATTACCTACAAAGTATATGCCACTTCCCCTTGCTCTATGCATTTCCTCAGAAGCAAAATACGTGCGTAAATCAAGAAAGTGAAATGCATTCAGCCCAAAGCGCCGATTGTACGGCATAGGGAGCAGGTTTGTCATGCATGCTGTGCCTAGTCCATGACGGGTCATGTCACTCCATATCACGGCCAGGTTGTTTGTGAAGCTGCGCTAGGTTGAAACATTTCGGTCTTGTTACCCTGGAGCAACGGATGCTAGAAGACAGCCCGTTTCTCCGAATATTCACGTGCCGGTTTCTCGCTCAATTTACCAGCCAATAAACACCCAAACCTGAAAACCAAGTGATAGGAGAAAATGTCCATGGCCAGCTAATTGAGGCATCCTGAATAAAAGCCCATCTCTCACGATTATACGATTTGAGAATGGTAAAGTGAGATGCGATTATACTTTGTAACGTAAAATAACACCTAGTCAGAGCGAATAATTACAAATGTATTCCGCTCCTTTGGCATTGTGAAGATGCAGACCATATATTTTGAACACCTTTAACTCACTGTCATTATAAATCAACTGCTACTATTGTTTTTATCTTTATGCTACGAAAGATCCACTGAAACGGTGAAAACGGAGACGAGTCCGGTAAAGATCGTACTTTGCGTGCAATACCATAATTATACTGGAACTCTGTGCATCTTGGTACTAGGTACTTGGTAGGTTCTTTTCCTAAATACTCCCCAGGGGAGTTTTAACAGGAGGCCAGAAACACAATATCGTAAGCTAAAAGATCAGCAATTGAATACAACATACCGTATAACCCATCATTATTGGTGAGCTGATTTGGGCTATCTAATTCTATCTCCATGATTAAAGATAATCGTGCCTGTGGTAAGCTTGCACGACCCAGCTTACTTTTTATCTTCAGCAATGCCATATCAGTCCTAGCTCTATGGTCTTAGTCAATTTGAAATGAATCGTCGAAATCCCAAATCATTCGAGACCTAACCATACGAAAAAGTCACGTAATGAAATCACGCAGTGTTTTCCCATCGTGTGTAGTCAACTCATAACATTTCATTGAAGATGTGGTCACATGCGGACTTATCCTTTCTTCATAAGATGATCCGCCAAATGAAAGATTGAGATATGACAGTCGATTCAATAATATCACGACTGACATGACACATTCAAGCGCATGAAGGGCCTCACAGAGCGAATTTTACATTAATACATGTTTCCATCACCGCATTTAAATTTGTGAAATCTTGTCAGATGGAATTCAGATCATTTCACATCAGTGTCCTCGTTTGTCATTGCATTTTACCAGACGTGGATGAGCAACGTTTTACACTGAACAAAAAAACCCCAAATATCGGATTAGGGGAGCCCACTACCCCTTTAAGTTCATCTTTTACTTCGGGTGACTGACTTGTCGTTTACTTTCCTGCCTATATTTATACAGTAAGGCTGACCCAGAAAATTGGTACCAGTGGAGGTATGTGGTGCCCCCTGGCCCCCAATATTGAACCGAGCTGTCAGGGGAATCATAGCATCACATACGTTATTATAGTTTTGTCAAGATGCGCGGTACTATACTATACGAACAGGTATGGACTTGGTGAGTATAATAGGAGATGTGTCCTTATCTGCATACTCATCACGCAGTCCGCACCACAAAGAAAATGCTTATGAAGTTGCTCACCGATTGTTGTTTTCCTCAAAGTATAAATAAGCTATAAAACCCGTCAACTAGTGATCACTGGGGAGGGGTCACGAAACTCATTTGCTGTAATTTTACACTCTGCGGTCTGTTTGTCTGTCTCTGCGTCTGCATGTTTTACCATACGGTAATTTGCAATTGTCTGAAAAAAGTCTTTAATATAAGGCCTGTCGTTTTGCGCTCATATCACTTTAACGCCTTTGAATTTGATCGAAATGAATTATCAATTGCAATTTTACCGACTGACCGCTCTTAATAAGTTACGGAATTTCCGTTGCCACAGTGTCTACCGTTGGCCCCGATCTGGTTGCCTATGGGTAGCTGGTTTAGCTGCCCGTCAATTAAGATCCATTGCTCGGATAATTTATGGATGATTTCGACTGTTTTGCTAACCCATTTCAAACTTGGCCAGCACTGAACTGTGTTCAACCTTGTATCTCCCATGGATGACATGGTTGACACCGAGCGGCAGCCATGGTCGGTGTACAGTGTCGGTGCGCCTCATGTGAACTGACAGCAGACTGACATTGCACAAAATTTTGATATGAAACTTATTGTGTTTGTTAATCCACACCGCAAGGAACAGGTCTCAGAAACGAGGAGTCACTTTTCCCAAAGTTTGTTTCGCAAAGAATATTCCATCTTTTCCGTTTGACACACCAGCTCTCTTTGCCTTGATGATGTATTTGTCTTCAAACAAACAACACACTGAGGAGGTTGCCGTATTTCTTGTTCATGCTGACATTAGTGAATTATTATTGATAAGACCTGCAGTATACATTGTATTGTAAACGATTGGGATAAGCATATATTTAAAATGCACTTTTTTATATATTGCCAAAGCTTCTAATTTTTTAAACGGCAATCAAATCTTCTAGATTTGACACAGAAATGCGGTTGAAGGTTATACTGGAATTTGACCTTTTTTAAAGACATTTTAAATATCTTCATAAATCATTTCCGTACCATGGTTTTCCAACATTACTTATACACACATCCCTTGCAGTATTTGGCACTTTGCCACTATCCAAGTTCCGTTGGTTGACTCCAGAAATTACAGGGAACAAAATAATGAAAGTAGATCAATTTGATGACATCCCTAGAAATGATTTATGATGATCTGATCGGAAGTTGCTAGTTGGTGAATCACAAGGTGTGAAGTGTAAAAAAGCTCTGTTGTTTTCAAGTGAAAATCTGCTGGGGCTGGTTACAATGATTATTAGAGATTTACGATAACTAGATGTGTCATTTTTTGGAAGTCGAGTTGACCAGTTATCCAATCCTGGCCCACTTCACTCCAGTGGGGCACGTATTGTGCATCAGTGCATGCGTCATTGAATCGTGTACATGTACCAGTCATGTACGCTTGCATTCATTCGCCAGTGTTTTCGGTTGTGCCAGACGGATAAAATAGTATCAAATTCCCTTGTATCTTTGACTGATTGTCTATAATATTGTCCATGCCGGCCGGTGATTTTGCCGTCTCATATTTAGTGTTCCGAGTGTGAAAGCGGTAACCGCGAATAGGCTTGGTGTTGCTCACACGTCGCAGTAAAATGGGTAACAAGACCAATTAGGTCACTCAACTGAGTTAAGTTTGTCTTTTTATAATCCCTTGCACCCCGGCAAACTATAATACGTATATGATACTTCCTTTGATGCTTTTTGGAAGTATTTTAATTTCAGGGAACAGACGCTTTTCCAATTTGTTGAAATAAGCAAAAGGTAAAATCGTATGGCCGCGGCGTGAGATTGGATGAAGACAGCCCATACGCCACCGTCGCATAGTGAACGGCGACGCCAACAATGAATCGACTTCCAACGAACCATCCCATTACCAACAATTATTCCCCCATTCCTCGATTGGCCTGGTGTTATCATTTCAAATACAAGTTGATTTTGGGAAACTGGATTACCTGCACAAATAGAGTTGCTTTATTTAACGAAAAAGTCGTACCAAGGTGGTCATTTCCGTATGCGTTATCACAGGCCTGTGAAAATGTGTGGGCCTGACTACCAAACATCATTACCTGATGTATGTAGCTGATACTGATAGCATAATCCGCAAGACAGTGACTATGGACATGTTCTCACTGTGCGGGAGATGTGAAGCCACTAACCAATCCTCCTTTATCCGCGGTTCAATCCCTTTCTATTCATGATAACATGCAAATGACTTACAGGCTAACCACAATGCACCTCGCACTAGCCGCTCACGTAAATGCCCCCTGTCTGATAATGAAACAGAAAAGGCCCTGAGCCGCACTAATTGAGCGGGGAGGATTGTCAGTTATCGGACGGGCTCATCTCGTGTAAAGTCAGGCTTACAATCTTTGGGGCCGGACATTCAGTCATGACATGGGTGTTAATTTCTCGTTTGGTTTCACAGATCCATTATGGTAGGTGTCCCTACGATGAGCAGGCCGCTGATGTTGGTTGTGTGCTACCTACTACTACTACTGGGATGTACATATGGGGGACAGGTTCAAGGAGGTACAGACCAGGACTCCTCCACGGACACACAAGGACAGAGCACCCCGCACAGGAGCCGCGAGGCAGTCATCAGGGCATTTGAAAAGAACCTACTGAACATGTTTGGATTGAAGGAGAAACCTAAACCCAGCAGGAAAATACACGTGCCACAGTACATGCTGGATCTTTACAATGCGCAGACCGACTCCCCAATCTCCAACCTCGACATCGACGTCAAAGGCAAAACAAGCAGATCCACCAACATCGTGCGGAGTTTCCACCATCAAGGTAAGGCAAAAAACATGGCTTCACTCTTGATTCCAACAACAATATTGGTCCATTAACGTGGACAGAGAAAGCTTAGCTGCTGAGTGTGTCGTGGTAGATAGTTCAACCGGGTTATGTTGTTTTGTATCCAAAGCTTAAGACCTGCAGGTAATACCTTTTCCATGGAACGCCACTGTTCAGGCGCAGTTAAAGCAGTAGGTGAGGCCATTATGACATTAACGCCCATGCACGCCTCGGGCAATAGCCGGTTTCATATACAGAGAGCTCACCATTGACACACTCGGCTATTCAAGTTCATTGTTCCCTCTGCCCGTATACAACCGCTAATCCTCTGGCTTGATGGTGTTGCAATATACTGCGTCTTTCTTCTTTTCAGAACACGAAGGCGATTACACTAGTTCGCAGGATGATTCTAGACAACATGGACACACGCACAGACTCACATTCAACGTTTCTGCAATAGCAGACAACGAGGTTCTCACCGATGCCGAATTGCGCATATTTTGGAAGAATCATCATTCAGTTTCAAAGAGAGACCTCACAGATAGAGACCAGACAAATTCAACCAAATCTTCAGAACAGAGTTATAAACACAGGGTCAATGTGTACCAAATTCTTAAAAGGCTGGTCAAGAGCAATGACGTCATAAAGCGACTCATTGACACCAAAGTGGTGGATATTCGCAACACGAGCTGGCAGTCTTTCGACGTTCGGCCAGCGATCAAAGACTGGAGGAGGCCGCATCGTCCCAATCACGGGATCGAGGTTGAAGTCCTCGACCACAGGGGTCGGCCGATTAGCGTGCACAGAAACCTTAGAATAGCTCGGTCTGTCAGCGAGCAAGTAGACTCTTCTGAGGACGAGACAAGGTGGTTTCAAGAGCGCCCTCATATTGTCACCTACACGGATGATGGCAGGCAAAAACGATCTGCTATCAGGCGCACCAGTCGGCAACGAAGCGGCAAGAGGAAACGGAAGCTGAAACCCAACTGTCGCAGACATCCTCTGTACGTGGACTTCACTGATGTAGGCTGGAATAGCTGGATTGTAGCTCCAGCCGGCTACCAGGCATATTACTGCCAAGGCGAATGCCCCTTTCCTCTAGTGGATCATCTCAATGCGACAAACCACGCAATAGTGCAGACATTAGTAAACTCAGCCAGTCCCCAGCTAGCTCCCAAGGCGTGCTGTGTACCCACGGATCTGAGTGCAATAAGCATGCTTTACCTTGATGACTCAGATTCAGTCATTCTAAGGAATTATCAGGACATGGTAGTGGAAGGCTGCGGTTGCCGATAAACGAACGAACAGAGAATTTTATATATTAACCTGAGGAAATCTCATATTTTTATTGTTTGATAAGCAGAAGTTGAGATATCCCCAGGTGTATAGTTAGAAGTGTAATATACTTGTCAATATGTTTAATATCTAACATGATGTATAAAGTTATTTATATTTCACAATTCATATGCCTTATATATTTTAAGTGCAGGTTCTTGGTATTTCCGAGAGCTACGTACAGTAATTCTGTATAAAAAAATAATTTTAACAGAACACCAGAAAAAATACATTTGTACATAACACAACGAAGCTGCATGCTTGACCATAATTAGGTGGTCAAAATGGTTTGTGGCATTAAACAAAAAATAGAAGTATCCAGTTGCTCTGAAGTTGTGGACTGTTAATCTCACTTCCTTTAGAAATCGGGTTTTTTTCTTGGGGGGGGGAGGGCAAAAACAAATTCTTAAATTTTAGAATTCTTTATTAAAAGATGTGAAGTCTTGGGCTGATCTCGAAGAACTTTTGTGGTCAAAATATGCCGGGAATGGTACCTAAGGTTTGCACGCATTGAAATATTTAGATACATGTACTAGATAGGGCACTGATGATAATTATTAGCAATACACCTTAATATAATTGAACAATACACTACACGCGCGACTCGGAACATTTACAAAACACATTTTAGGAACCATTACTGTTAACATTAGTATGCGAAACCTTGAAATAAGACTTTTGGGGTGTAGGGTAGGCGTGTCGAAAAAGGTTTCATTTCTAATATGTTGCCCATAATTGGACAAATTATGCAACTTTTTTTTACAATGTAGTCTTCATCAATTGGTCTTCCAAGGTCACACAGATTAACGACAACGCGGTGCTTGAAAAGTCTGAGGCTTATTTGTATTAGCACAAATGTATGATATATATTGACAAATGTTAATTTTATTGTAGTAAGAAATGAACCGAAATATGGGTCCTGACATGATACTTTTTTTTAGCGGAACATCTTGTGAACATGTTTGAGTTTAATTAGGTTTCAAACAGTGCATTTTGTTGCTTAAAAGTCTTTTTTTAGATCTCATTTTTGAAGACATGTTCACAAAGGACATAATCATGTGACCTTTCTAAAGTTTGTGCTTTCTCGTTCATATATCATGGATTTATTTGGATTGTTGTTAAAATACCCGATTCTGCATATTTCTGTACATGTAGCAATAATGGACTATAGTATTTCTGCACTGGTATTTTATAACAGACTTTGCATGCATCAGAGTATTCAGTACTTTGGAATGTTTTGGCGCTCTTTTGTCCAACGTGCTCAAAGTCAAACAAGTTCGATTTTTCTTTTATAAAACAAGTGCCTGGCACATGGTGTATTCTTTCAATGGTATACCGTCCAAGATTTCTGAAAAGTAAGGGAATACTTTTTGTCATTCTTATAAAAACCGAGGCTGAAAATACGGATAAGATTTGGGAATACAGTGTAATTAGGTGTCGAGACACGTGGTCAAAGGACGGACTTGTCCATAATTTGAAAGAAACCTTATCACGCGTGGCTTATTTTGTTCAACAAAAAATTCTTTCCTAAACACGCATGCCTTTTTGCAAAAAAAAAAATAGGTTGGCAGATAGACATCTATAACAGTATTGTTCATAGAGGACTTTTTTCCTCTTAATTTGCAAGTATTTGCGGGTTTGCTGCTGGAAAATTCGTTCTTTTCACTTCACAAGTATATCAACACGAAGTATTAGATATATTTATTACATGTTTGCGACGATGATATTCCTCACCACTTGTTTTTTATTTATTTTTTGTTTTGTTTTAGTATGTATCCTGTTTTGATGACGTTTACGTTTAATGCATTTGAATACAGTATTTTTTAATTTATATTATTTAAAATGTAAAATTACGGAATAGATTTCGCCCGTATTTTAAAGTTAGGGCATGCTTTGTACATAGTCACCTGTGCTTTTTATGTACCATAAAGAAAACCTGTATAAGCTGGTATATTGTTATCGATATATATTAGCATTTGTAACAAGTTATCCATATAGCGGAGGAGTCAAAATTGTGTAATGAACCTTTTTAAAACACATTTGTCTTCCTAATAAGGGAGTGCCTTTAAAGTTAATGTATTTTTCTAAACAATCCTGAAGCAGGGCAATGTAACACAATAGGCCTAGGCCTGGCACAACTTTGGTATTATTCATGTATTGTAGAGAACCATGTATTTTCGGATGAATCATCAGAGGCTTTGAGAATAAAACAACACATTGGAATGTGTCTGTTGTAATCAATGCAGTGGTATCTCGTTCAATGTGATTACAAACTCCTTAAAAACTGAACAAGATCAATCTGTTTGGTATAATTGATCCCCCCCTCCCCCTTTAGTTTGGGGGACTTTGGGGGAGGGGTGAGGGGTTGCCTCACTTAAATTCCGGATCGATCAGATAATGCAATAAAGAACGGATACCCATTTTGCGTGGTCATTCAATTAATTATCCTCCATAGCCAATACAGGTGCAATACATGTATAAGAAAAAGTGTAATTTAAGGCTATAAGTTTATAACTTCGTGCACCTTCTTCCATCAATCTCCAAACTCACAAAGAATTTTGATTTTGATTTTCAATTCTCTTCAATTAAACGAATTGAATCGTAACTAATTTCCAGTAACAAAAGCACTCGTATTTTTGCCTAAGGGATCGAGCTACTTCAATATTTTAGACTTACTTTTCAAGCAATGCAACTGTTTCAACATTGCATCGAATTTCAAGTAAGATGCGAGAGACGAGTTTGGGGGGATGGGGGTGAGGCAGCCACGCGGAGGTAAATCCTGCCCCCTGAGAGTGAGACCACTCACCCCAGGTTTTCCACTCCAATTACCCTTTAAAATATGCGAATCCAGCATAACAAATACCATGGCATATGTCTTTTTGGATGGGTGGGGAGGGGTCAATGACCCGGGTCAGGAGGGAAGCATCCACGGACTGAGCCGCCGGAGTCATGTCGCCTTGCCCTACTTGGCATGCGAGGAGAGATCCCCGCGTGATTTATTTCCTACTCTCGGCAAAGGTTCCCCTCCGCTCCGAGTTGCACTCGATTTTTTTTTAATCCTCCCGCGTCAGTTGGATACTCGCGCCAAAGTATGTCCTCAGAAATCAAGCATCAATGTTTGAAGACCAGCATCCGGTCGGCCGTCGTGTAAAACGACGTCTTTTACTGAAGCTGTGGAGGCTGAGTACATCATGGAAATGGGCAAACGCTCCGAGACTCTGTGAAACCATCCATTTTCACAATGACCAATTTCCTGCTCTATAGGCTCTCTGCTCTAGGTGAGTAAAACAATCGGGATTCGTTTGAGACCATGAACCGCTTTTGTTGAAATAATGTTTGCTTACTCCACAGGGTCCTTTCATTTTGTACCTGATTTTCATGAGAGATAGTTACAAGCCACGAACTAAATAAGGACCTCCAAATAACAACTGCAAATGGAAAGCTTGTCCACACCCAACTGAATGATACCCTACTTAGAGTTCAACTATTTTTCTTGTCAAGGACCATGTGAAACAAGCCAGGGTGACCCAACCTATGGGGGCCCACTACCCCACCAATATGACCCCAAGGGGCTAGCCAGCATTTGCCCGTCTCGGAGTAACCCCGTATCACATGGGACCCACAATAAGTCGTAAACCTGTTTGCGTGGTGTCACCGGTGTATGATTTTTTGATTGATTAGGGCAAACTGATGCTAATTTGATCGCAGTGTGTGCGGGCACAGATTAGTTCGGCAACAACAACAGCCGACACTTTGTGCACTTTACATATGGAAAAATACTTTACAAATTGGTCCACAATGATTTTTCATCGCTCAGAACGGCAGTGACCGATTTTGTTGTGAAATTTCTGCTAAAATAAACCCACACTTTACTTCATCCCGTTATTAGACGTCTGTGTATGGGTCACTCAACGCATAGGTCTTCCTGGAAGGGATGCACAGCGACGAGGTTGGACAAAAAGATTTTAATTTAACGAACAACATAACAATTCCACAAACGATGCTCATTTTTGTTTTAGAGAGGCTTTTTCCGGGCACAGGATTCTAACAATTATAGGCCTATCCCCCAAAGATCCAATTATGTTACACTTTGGTACAACAGGTACTTAATGTATACCAACGCTTACGGTCACCATACAATAATACCAATCATTATGGGCCCCAAATATTTTTGATGAAGAATATAAAATACAATGTGCCTATTCCAAACAAGTTAAATACATGTAAGGGCCAATCCATACCAGTATAATTTTATAGCGTACATTTATCTTTTAGAAATTTTCAGTCGCTTCCCATCTTTACGTATAGGCCTACAATGTGATGTAGACATGATTATTATCAACAAACACATCTTGCAATTAAAATAACTTTCTTCTTGCATTTTTTCCCTTAAAAACCCCACAGCAGCATGTTAAAATGGAATAATTGTGGCTTTGTAAAGAGTGCGGACCGCAAAAGAGTAGCTTCATGATCTTCTGGAGGAAACTTTACTGATAGGTCTCAGTATAATCAATCGGATTGCTGTTTAAAAAACTGAGCAGCATATAAAGATTACGTGATAGGATGTTGCATCTGGACCAACATAAAACGTGTTTAAATTTTATTTTTTTTCTGCTCATTTGTTACATGAATTCTGAAGTCAAATTCTGTCATCCCTGACGAAATAAAGAATACGTTTTCTTTGTCTGTACAGCAACCTTTATGGGAATAGATGTTGTGAGTGTATAATATTTAACTCTTGTGGTTTTCATCCGTTAAAACGCATCCCCCCAACAAACTCCCTGAAAACTAGTTTTCCCATATAACGACATAAGGTACATGCCTATACGTGTATGAAAGTAGGTGCGAATATCATACCATGCTGTATACTCCGCATGGGCTAATTGGTAACAACTGGCAGGCTACAATAAGGTGTATAAAGGAGGACCCACACTGCCTCCAAATACCTGTCACATTCCAAGCCAAATTTACTATCATCAGGACCAGGTCGCTGTTCAACCTTGGCAGTGTCTGGCAACCTGAGACGTCTTATAGCTCTTGCGTTGGTGTTCAATTCACCTCGTGTAATGATTTTGTTTGGAATATTGCTCAATGTACGTACATGTACTACAAAATTACATGGTTAGTAGAAGCATCGTGTTGTCTACATCTGCCGCACTTCATTTTTATTTTAGAAATGATATAGCGTGCAGTGCTACCTTTCTGCAAATCAAAAGAAAGTCCACATTACATATGACACAAATGATGCAGTTCGAAGAAACAGAACCAAGATTTAGGCCTATTTAAAGAAAAACGTGATCAAGGAGGGATGAAATAGGTTTTGGGGAAAACGCAATTGTGGGTACGTCATCAACGCTTCGTGAAGTATTTTTTAGATAGGGGGTGTATTTATGAATCACCCCTAACTCAAATAAGTTAGGGGCATTTCCTCCTAAAGACCCGAGTATTGGTTGAAATCACCCTAGCCCTCCCCAAACCATATACCCTCTGGGTCCGTTCCCCCAATTAAGTCTCAACGAAATACTGGCTGTTTCGTCGGGGCGATACTTGCCAGTTATTGGAGCCGTAATTACGGGGCTATTCAGCTCAGGAAACCAGGAAAGCCAGGATTGGGCTCGGACCTTTGTCCGCATGGTTACTGGCTCTGTAAATCGAACATTAAGCTCTTAATCGGACCAACACTACTACTGGTGTTCTTTGTCCCAGTGACAGGCCCTTTTCACCGGGCCAACCTTAGTGGGTAAAAACAGACACCACCAAAGTGACTAACCCCAGCGAAATGGCAGAAGCTGACAACAAAACTACGCCGGGGAGCTTTTGTCTGGATCGGCTTGGTTCATCCCCAGATTTTTGATGTGGTATCTGTCCCCCACGGGGGTCTGCTAAGATGATAGATCAGGAATGTAACGGATCAAGTGGCAATCTGAATGAGAATGTCATGGATCAGTCATCTGAAGGAAATATCTTTTATGATAAATACGATTGTTACCAACTCACGATGACCGTGTAGACAACGGTCCTCACTGTTCAGCCTAAACGGTTATTCTTTTGGCTCGAAGTGAAATCGTCACCGAATTACTTTTGTTCCGTCGGCAAATCCATACCGGTGTGCTGTCTGTATTCCCGCCCAGTGTGTGGTCTTTGCCGCCTCACTTCCTCCGTAACACGGAGTTGACTTACGTCCGAAATATGCAAAAAGGGCGGGATTTTAAGTTGAAGTTGTGCAGATGGCCCCGGTTCTTTTATTTCTCAAGAGACTTACACACGCACGCTGAATACACGCCCACAGTCGCTGTTGTGTTGCTCTTTTGCAGCACACCTAAAAAGACACCGCGAGCTTTTTTTGTTCATCCCCGTGACATAAGAGAGATCCCCCTCGGGCTATTGAAGGATCCCTGGCCTAATTGCCCCGCTAATTTAGAGGGTTCTTATTTATTATATATCGATAGTCGGGGAAAAAAACCGGCACAATCGCTCATGGATACGTGCTTAACGGGAAATCTTCTTCTGTAATCGGAAAACAAAATAGCACAGACCTAAACAAATTTAGCGGGATTTGATTTGTCACATCGACAAGGCCGGTCTTTGATGGTGAGGAAAATCCCGTTGATGAAACGGTGTATGGGGGAAAAGAAGACAACTTAATATCTCCGACAATAGGTTGGAATTTAGGCCTACATCCGTGGAATGTGATAGACTGTCGTGCATGCAGGCCTATAATATGTAAATGTATAATGGTACTGGATAAAGTGAAAAACATAAAGGTTATTCGTCATTGCTTGAATGGGAGACGCTATATAGATAAGTTAATATAATGCGAGAAAAGTTGATAGGTCTACCCGTACCATTTTACAAATACGCTGCACGGCTGAATCAAAATCAAACCTTCGAAACTTAATCTTGTTGCGACTTTCCCCATTTCTCAACCAGAGACGCAAGCATGGTCATTATTTGCTGGTTTTGAACGTTGCTGTGAATAATCTTCCTTGAACAATGACAGTGTCATGCACACAATTTAAACAACAAGACTAGCAAGCCTAGTAAAGCGAATGAGATAGGTAACCAATTTAATTCACAAGTGACCGTCAGTCAGTCAGTGAGTCAACCGAAATGATATCTTTGATGTACCAAAACGGGTCGTTTCACTTGCATTTGCTGGCGGCAGCGTGAACATCACGCAATTTCACTGTGGCTCCGAAAGTCCGTCCGCTCTGTATCACCGAGCACGCGAGGATAAACGG